TGGAGAGGTTGTGGCTCCCCTCTTTTGTTTCCCATATTCTGGCTGGTCTGTGCCTTCTTGTCCCCTTTAGGTGATGTGCCTGGCAGTATGCATTGTAGCATTTTCTTTCATGGATTGATGAGTGAGACATTTCTGGGTGAAATAAGTTACAGGAGGGGAAGTTGCCCTCTCCTGTTGTCTTGTGGGTGCAGCATTTTTTGGGATGGTCAAAGGTGCATGTCCCACCTGTTTTACCAGACATCGTGCCTGCAGATACCCAAGGCATAGACAGATTGTAATTCTGTTTGCTGGGATTTGTTGTAGCTGTATTCGCTGCTGGTGCTTTTTTTTTTCCTACCCCTGTATGGACATTAGTGCTTCCACCAGGTTTTGCTGGTTGTGTGTCGACACTATTCCCTGAGGCATCATCCCCTTTTGAGCGATCTCCAGCAGTATCTCTTTTTTGTACCTCTGTGAATTGAATGGTGTTGTCTTCACTGTCCTCCTGGGCAACACTAGTGCCCTCAGGAGCACTGTCCTCCAGGACTACACAAGTACCCTCAGCACTGTCCTCCAGGACAACATTAGCACCCTCAGGAGCACTGTCCAAGACAGTCTCGTCCCTACCACCCATCTTATTTTCCCAGCAGTCATACCATGCTGACATGTCTTTCAAGAAGGATCTTTCATTGGTGTTCTTGTCTTTTAACCCTTAAACTGTCCAAATGTAGATCTACGTTCACTCGCATGCGCTCCGAATATTTTGAAAAATAAAAAAATTTTTGTTCTTTCTTTTAAAATGAAGAGCACACTTTTCTACATGTTACAGGATTAAAAAAAAATTTTTAGGGTCAATACTTACCGAGATATAAGACTGTGAAGTTGGCTCTGGATGCTCACCTGTCAGCAACATCGACTCGTGCTGCTTGCAGAAGTGTTGCCAATATACCTTTTTTTCTCGTTTTTATTTTAATTTATATAATTACAATTTATAATAGTTCTTGTAATTTCATAGCCAATCTTTGTTCTGACACTAATATTAGGTACTGAAATAGTGCTCAAATAGTCACAATCACATTGACAGGTGAACATTTACACCTGCCTGGGTTATTTATTATTATCGGCCAGTGTGATAATAATAATAATAATAAATATATATGAAGCATTTATAGGTCCCAGCAATGTTTTAGATACCCTGGCATATACCTTGAAGCATGTTATGAAAGGCATCCCTATACTGTTGACAGCCCAGTGACATTTGATAAATGCCCACTGCACGACTATTTGTTTTCACTGATACACACAAACATATTTCTGTCTGTCTATCTTTGCCTGGAATTTTTGGATTATCCTAGGTAATTTACACTATGTATAATAACTGTACTTATGTGTACATGTGAAACAGAGATATAGATAGACATATAGATAGATAGAGATATAGACAGATAGAGGTACAGAGTCAGAGACAGCCAGCCTGCTGAATACATAAGAACATAAAGAAGGAACACAGCAGCAGGCCTACTGGCCCATGCAAGGCAGGTACATTTCACTCTCCCCCCCCCCTGGCTTAGACCAATGACCCACCTAGTCAGGTCACATCCATTGAAGGAAGGAGCATGACATCAGACCTAGTAGCACAAGCTAGTCAGGTCCAACTCACACCCATCCACACTCACTCATGTATTTATCTAACCTATTTTTACTTTCCTCTTAAAATGGGAGTGTTAATGCATCGTGGCATCAGTGATTCCCTGGTATTTGCCACGCTATTTGCTCTAGCTGGCACTCAATTGAACTGGTGCTCCCACAAGGTACTAAGTGCTCCCAGATTTTTTTAATAGTGCGCACACTGAGCGCACAGAACCATTCTTTCATGTCTAGGCGACTCAAGCCTATTGTACCAAATTTGAAGGAATGAAAAATAAAACGTGAATCTACGTTTGGAGCACTACGCGTGCAAACATAGACCTACATTTGGACAGTTTAAGGGTTAATATAGATGTAATTTTCTCATACAGGTGTGTCTCGTTTGGGCAGACCCAAAAACTGAGTTTATGTCAAGTGTGGTTACTGGTTTAAAATCCCTGCATATACAATGGGACCATTGACGACAGGATTGCAAGCAATCCAGGCCTGTTTTTTGTCCCTTACCCTTTCTGCAGACTACACAGATATTCATGGTGGTGGTTATCTCCTAGCTAGCTAGTCTTATAATTTCTCGAGGTATTTAATTTTTTTTTTTAAGTTCTTCCGATTTGGCTTTATTTCCAATAAAACCGTCTGAACCCATCCAAATCCAGGCAAATCCAGACAAATCTGGTTAGTGGATCACAGTATATTTCTTTACTAATAATCACTTTAGCAGTAGATCTGTATCTGTATTGTATCTAATTGTTGTAGTTACGATTTGGGCGTTTGATGAGGGCACAGCTACTGCAAGCCGTGTTGGCAACCTGTACACTGACAATGTTATGGCCCATTTTAGGAAAGTCTTAAAGGAACAGGAGGTACAGAGCTCTATGGACAGATTTGTTGTGCAACAGAGGTCCAGTGACTCTCAAGCTGGTCCTAGTGGCATTAAAAGAACAAGGGAAGTAACCCTGGAAAAGGACTTGCTACCTAAAGTCCTAATGGAAGGGGATTCCCCTTCTAAACAATAACTTCCACACTCTCCTCTCCTCCCATCCCATCAATCATCACCAGATCTTCAATAAAGGTAAGTGTCATGTATTCTATTCTTAGTAGAGTAGTAATTGTGCATGTCTTCTTCAGTTTGTGTGTATTAAAATTAATATTTCATGTGGTAAAAAAAAAAAAAAAAAATTTCATACTTTGGGGTGTCAGGAACGGATTAATTTGATTTCCATTATTTCTTATGGGGAAAATTAATTCAGTTAACGATAATTTCGGCTTACGATGAGCTCTCAGGAATGGATTAATATCGTAAGGCAGGGGTCCACTGTATGTGTTCAGTTTGATACAGAAAGTATAACTTGTGTGTTTGGGCACTGGTGGCTTCTGTAGATGAAGATTACTGGAGGAATATTTGATTTTCGTTGTGTATATTGCAACCGCTGCTAACTACAGGTTTAGTGTATTATCTCAAACTGTATACATCACTCCATCACAATAAGTACTAACAACTATACACTGTTTCTCGTATTTCTACAAAACTGTACACTTTGCGCAATTCCTCCAGATTTTGCATCTCTTCATATTTCAACAGAAATGTTTTACTCCCTGGTATCACTAATTTGTATGTCAGGTACACTAGCTGACCTGCGTGAGAGGGTTCTGGCAACTGCTGGCAACTGTTTACAACAAGAACCTGCCTCTTTAGGCCTAACACTTCGGTTTTAAATTTCACCTAATCATTTATTATCTATATAATATGGTACAACTGCAGTATACACTAAAGCAAATACCTACCCAAAAACAGTATTGCTCTACACGACACTGTAGCATTCTCATACTGTAAACTACTTTTAGTAAATCACAATGTTATATTCCCATAATATAATTACAATAATTACTTTTGAATACACCTACCATCCGACTTACGACCTGCTCGACTTGCGACCACTCTACTTACAACCGTGTTTTTTATGCCAAATTTCTGGGAAATAAACAACTATTTGTGTTGTACACAGTGTTTATCCTAAACCTTACAGTATAAAATACAGTACTAACAACATAAAAAGTAAAGTAAAACATGAAATACCAAAATAAAACCATTTCGACTTATGACCGGTTTCTCGGAACCGAACTCGGTCGTAAGTTGGATGGTAGGTGTATATTGTCCATTGTCGACAGGAATGTAATTGAATCATGCGTCATCAAAAACATTTTTGAAAATATGAATACGTATATCCTTTGGTTTATATAAATTAGATTCATTAATAAATAATAGAACTATTGTACAACTTTGATAAATTTCTTTAATGTTAAGTAGTCAGTAAGCCATTAAATTAAGTCGGCCCATAATGCCCAAGCATAATAGAGGCTCTCTCTGCACTGCAACCCATTATTGTACTTAACCGCAATGTATTACGTGCAAAGAAATAAATAAATTTGAATTTTAATGTATAACACACTATTATCAGGGAGACTGTCTTTCCTCTGACAAAAAAGAGCCCTAATATTATTTTGCACTGGCACTCTAAGTCTAAAGTTCCCCTCTGAGAGTATGGCTATGCTTTGTTATTGCACAATGATTCTCATTTTCTGACTCGGTAGATATTATTTTCTACTAGATTAGTTCTGAGCGCTGGAGGGATATATCTTATAAGTTCACTGGCACAGTTTAAAGTTCTAGCACACAAGAAAGACCACGAAAGAACATGGCTTACAGGTTACCATACCGCTTGGAATTCCAGCAAGCGTGCATGAACGTGTTAGATAGGAGCAAATGGAGATGTGCTGTTGGAGTGTAAGCAAGGTAACAATTATGAAGAGATTCAGGGAAACTGGCAGGCCAGACTTGATTCCTGGAGATTGGAAGTACAGTGCCGGCACTCTGAAGAAGGGGTGTTAATGTTGCAGTTTTATAGCTGTAGTGTAAGTGCACCTCTGGCAAGACAGTGATGGAGTGAATGATGATGAAAGTTCTTTTCTTTTTTGCGGGGCACCCTGCCTTGGTGGGAAACAGCCAATGAGTTAATAAAAAAAATAAATACATAAAATATTTGCTTCAAACATGTTTGATCACATTGTATACAGTACATAATAGTTTTAAGAGTTTGTACAAGAATGTATTATATTTGTTCTTCAAATAGAAAATTTTGAAGCGCAATAATCCACAAAATTTGCGTAAATGTATATTTATCAAATTATAAAAAAAATATTCTACACGAGTTATTCCTTATTTGTTTCTTGAAAGATAAGTAAATGAAACAGGAACGAATAGCCAAAAAAATAGTTACTGTACTGAGCAGCAATGTCCAACTATGAGGAAGAAAATAATGTACATGCTGAATGATGAAATACTGTGACATACATATAAAATGCCAGAGTTTCCTCACCTATTCCCTTGACAAGAGGCCATGATATGTTTCCTCGAAGTGTTGTGTTCATCTCTCCAGTGCACAGCAACACCAGGTGGATCTGTGGCGGACTCTTGTGCATGGCATCTGTAACATAAAATTCACTACATAAGACTTTATATCAGGTGAATTTCATAAACCACACCTGAAAGTGGGGGAAAAAAATACTGTGTTAATATGAAAATTTACAGAATTTAAAAATCTAATAATGACACAGTAGTAGTAAACATCTTCCCCACAACCTAATAATTTCTGTCCCATATTAGAGCACATTCCTTTTTCTTTCACAGCAGCACTGTATGGCCCTTATGGGTTTAGCACTAAATTTGATTAATAATAATCTTCCCTCTCTCAGGTGTTAGAGTGAGGTGGAAGGGCAAGGGAGGAGAAACACGTGTCTCAAAAAGAAGTTAAAGGTACAGTACTGTAAATGTACCAGCAATGCCAAGGAAAGAGCAATATGTATGTTCACATACCACTAAAGTCAGCACAGAAACTTGATGCAAATATAAAGATCAAACATGTGGAATAACTTTCCAGATGAGCTGAAGTAAGTTGCAACTTACTTAATGAATTCTGACAAATAGTTGAAAAAATGGGCTTAATGTATTTCCCTGAAGCCTTTTATATACAACTCCTTAAACTGCATTAACCATCTACTTAAGTCATAAATTACATCAAATTTAATCATCTCCAACCATTATTACATCATTACTTTCTTGTAACGTAATTTGTAATTGCATACATTCAGTGTACTCCATTTACCGTACATATACTATTACAGAACAAAGAGAAGGCTGGAGGCAGTGGAGATGTGTCTGAGGGCAATGTGCAGTGTGAATATAATGCAAAGAATCCACAATTTGGAAATTAGGAGGTGGTGTGGGGTATCTAAAAGTATTACTGAGAGGGCTGAGGAGGGGTTGTTGAGGTGGTTCGGATATTTAGAGAGGATGGAACGAAATTGAATGACATGGAGAGTGTATAAATCTGTTGTGGAAGGAAGACAGGGTAGGAGTAAGCCTGGGAAAGGTTGGAGGGAGGGTGTAAAGGAGGTTTTGGTGTGTGAGGGGCTTGGACTGCCAGTAAGCATGCGTGAGTATGTTAGGTAGGAGCGAGTGGAGACAAATGGTTTCATGACGATTTGCTGTTGGAAGGTGAGCCAGGTAACATTTATGATGGGATTCAGGGAAACCTGCAGGCCGGACTCAAGTCCTGGAGGTGGGAAGTACAGTGCCTGCACTCTGAAGAAGGGTTGTTGATAAGTGGCAGCTTTACAACTATCGTGTAGGCACGCCTCTGGGGTGAATGATAATGAAAGTGTTTCTTCTTTTTCGGGTCACCCTGCCTTGGTGGGAAACGGCTGAAGTGTTAAAAAAAATACAGAACAAATGTCCAGTATTTTTTATATTGCTAGTATTAGTCCTAGATTAAAGTTAATTCTATTTGCAGATGACAACTTTTATCATCGCCCATTCAGATCCAGTTTCTCTCAGTAACACTGTTAATGATGATTATAATAATAATCATGGGGGAGTGCTAAACCTGTAGGATTATACAGTGCATGTGGGAGGGGGGGGGGTATGGAAGGTATTCAGGCTCAATTCAGGGAACCGAAGCAGATATCCAATTCCCTAGATCACGAGCCCCTTACTAGTGTCAAGGAACCTCCCTTGAGGGGTGTTAATGATGAGCTTGTAGAGATTTTCTTGCATTACTACCAATACTCATTCTTAATATTAACAAGACCTTCTACATGATGTTTGGAAACAGAGCTACAAATATGCAGCTCAATATAACGATAAATGATTCACTCATTGTACGACAAAGAGGGAAAATTCTTCCTTCCAGAGAGACCTGCCAGTCGCTTCACAACTACTGTTCAACAGAACCTCTTTCCTCAATATGATTCAAGGTAGCAAAATTCTAAGTTCAAACACAACTTAAAACATACTTGTCTGAGGTTTCATCCAATCTTCATCCTTCTGTACTTCTTGTTTGTCATTTTTTCTACTCATAGTATAAAATGTTTTAATTCCATTTATTTAGATATAGCATTGTGCTAAGTTTACTTAATCTTTGTTGAAAATTTGAGCAACTCTCCATATTTGTGGGCCACAGTTCATTTGTCATATGATGTATAAAACAGAGTAGAAAAGCGAGGTCGAAACAGTCCACAAAGGTGGTCACAAGTACTTCGCAATGAAAAGAAACACAACTTGTTATCTACCAACCTATAAAAGGTCACTTTTCACACCTCGTGTGTGGCACGTTTCTGCTGTGTAAGAAAAATAACACTGGCCAACAACAAACAAAATCAGTTGCCGAAGACTTTTGAAGGTCTTTAGGGAATTTTGGGGTTACTAAATTCGAAAATGTCAGGTTTTTCAAACTGGCTCTAGTTCATGAGATATTGCATTCCTATCCTCAATTAACAGGGAACTTAGCCATAACGTATGTTTATGTAGTGACAATCTGTATAAACAAATGGTTTTAATAAACATTAGAATTTTATTTTTAAATTATTTAATATTTAACAAAAGGAGTTGTATTAACAACAACTATGTGACAAAACCATAATCTATATAATGTTTTTCCTGATAAACATGAGTTCTTCACAAAGAGTCTGCTTAAACAATCCCAATGCATTTTGCTACATTTGTCACTAATATTCTTTGCAAAAACAAAGGAAAAACATCACAGATTTCGTAAAACAAGCTTATCTTGCTTATTTTGGAGTGGTGCTTGGGGAACAAGACAAGTCTTGGGCTCCCCATATGGTTTGCAAAATCTGTGTAGAATGTGTATGACACTGGAAAAACAGGCAATGGAAAAGTTTAAACTTCAATGTGCCTATAGTGTGGAGAGAGCCGCAAAACCACCACGAATGTGAAAAGTTTCAATCAATAAAAGAAAGTCAAGTGGGAATATCTTGACCTGGAGTTTGCAAGGATACCTATACCACACAGCGAAGACGTTCCCATATCAGTGTTTACAACACTGCCTGACCTTCCGCTGTCAAATGTTGAAGAAACTCAGAGTTTAGGATATAACACAGGTGACAGCAGTGGAAGTGAATATGAAGTACGCATTTCAACACCCAGCAGTTCTCCCAGGAAGAACTCAATGATCTGATAAGTGACCTCAGTCTGTCAAAGCAAGCATCTGAACTTTTAGCATCCACACTAAAGGAAAAAACTGTCTAAAACAAGAAGCTAAATAACAGCTTATCAGACAAGAGTTTATCAAAAGCAATCAAATTTATCAAAAACTAGAGCCAATCAAGCAAAACCGATAACATTCAGAATCAACACCACAAACTTACACCAAAATTGGTGTAATATCATTGACAAGAAAAAGTACTACTGCTGGGAATTTGAGGTACTCGCTGAGCAGTGAGGAACTAGAGATATTTACTGAGGAGAAAAAGGAACCAGAGGTACTCGCTGTAGAGAGAGGAACCAGAGGTACTCGCTGTAGAGAGAGGAACCAGAGGTACTCGCTGTAGAGAGAGGAACCAGAGGTACTCGCTGTAGAGAGAGGAACCAGAGGTACTCGCTGTAGAGAGAGGAACCAGAGGTACTCGCTGTAGAGAGAGGAACCAGAGGTACTCGCTGTAGAGAGGAACCAGAGGTACTCGCTGTAGAGAGAGGAACCAGAGGTACTCGCTGTAGAGAGAGGAACCAGAGGTACTCGCTGTAGAGAGAGGAACCAGAGGTACTCGCTGTAGAGAGAGGAACCAGAGGTACTCGCTGTAGAGAGAGGAACCAGAGGTACTCGCTGTAGAGAGAGGAACCAGAGGTACTCGCTGTAGAGAGAGGAACCAGAGGTACTCGCTGTAGAGAGAGGAACCAGAGGTACTCGCTGTAGAGAGAGGAACCAGAGGTACTCGCTGTAGAGAGAGGAACCAGAGGTACTCGCTGTAGAGAGAGGAACCAGAGGTACTCGCTGTAGAGAGAGGAACCAGAGGTACTCGCTGTAGAGAGAGGAACCAGAGGTACTCGCTGTAGAGAGAGGAACCAGAGGTACTCGCTGTAGAGAGAGGAACCAGAGGTACTCGCTGTAGAGAGAGGAACCAGAGGTACTCGCTGTAGAGAGAGGAACCAGAGGTACTCGCTGTAGAGAGAGGAACCAGAGGTACTCGCTGTAGAGAGAGGAACCAGAGGTACTCGCTGTAGAGAGAGGAACCAGAGGTACTCGCTGTAGAGAGAGGAACCAGAGGTACTCGCTGTAGAGAGAGGAACCAGAGGTACTCGCTGTAGAGAGAGGAACCAGAGGTACTCGCTGTAGAGAGAGGAACCAGAGGTACTCGCTGTAGAGAGAGGAACCAGAGGTACTCGCTGTAGAGAGAGGAACCAGAGGTACTCACTGTAGAGAGAGGAACCAGAGGTACTCGCTGTAGAGAGAGGAACCAGAGGTACTCGCTGTAGAGAGAGGAACCAGAGGTACTCGCTGTAGAGAGAGGAACCAGAGGTACTCGCTGTAGAGAGAGGAACCAGAGGTACTCGCTGTAGAGAGAGGAACCAGAGGTACTCGCTGTAGAGAGAGGAACCAGAGGTACTCGCTGTAGAGAGAGGAACCAGAGGTACTCGCTGTAGAGAGAGGAACCAGAGGTACTCGCTGTAGAGAGAGGAACCAGAGGTACTCGCTGTAGAGAGAGGAACCAGAGGTACTCGCTGTAGAGAGAGGAACCAGAGGTACTCGCTGTAGAGAGAGGAACCAGAGGTACTCGCTGTAGAGAGAGGAACCAGAGGTACTCGCTGTAGAGAGAGGAACCAGAGGTACTCGCTGTAGAGAGAGGAACCAGAGGTACTCGCTGTAGAGAGAGGAACCAGAGGTACTCGCTGTAGAGAGAGGAACCAGAGGTACTCGCTGTAGAGAGAGGAACCAGAGGTACTCGCTGTAGAGAGAGGAACCAGAGGTACTCGCTGTAGAGAGAGGAACCAGAGGTACTCGCTGTAGAGAGAGGAACCAGAGGTACTCGCTGTAGAGAGAGGAACCAGAGGTACTCGCTGTAGAGAGAGGAACCAGAGGTACTCGCTGTAGAGAGAGGAACCAGAGGTACTCGCTGTAGAGAGAGGAACCAGAGGTACTCGCTGTAGAGAGAGGAACCAGAGGTACTCGCTGTAGAGAGAGGAACCAGAGGTACTCGCTGTAGAGAGAGGAACCAGAGGTACTCGCTGTAGAGAGAGGAACCAGAGGTACTCGCTGTAGAGAGAGGAACCAGAGGTACTCGCTGTAGAGAGAGGAACCAGAGGTACTCGCTGTAGAGAGAGGAACCAGAGGTACTCGCTGTAGAGAGAGGAACCAGAGGTACTCGCTGTAGAGAGAGGAACCAGAGGTACTCGCTGTAGAGAGAGGAACCAGAGGTACTCGCTGTAGAGAGAGGAACCAGAGGTACTCGCTGTAGAGAGAGGAACCAGAGGTACTCGCTGTAGAGAGAGGAACCAGAGGTACTCGCTGTAGAGAGAGGAACCAGAGGTACTCGCTGTAGAGAGAGGAACCAGAGGTACTCGCTGTAGAGAGAGGAACCAGAGGTACTCGCTGTAGAGAGAGGAACCAGAGGTACTCGCTGTAGAGAGAGGAACCAGAGGTACTCGCTGTAGAGAGAGGAACCAGAGGTACTCGCTGTAGAGAGAGGAACCAGAGGTACTCGCTGTAGAGAGAGGAACCAGAGGTACTCGCTGTAGAGAGAGGAACCAGAGGTACTCGCTGTAGAGAGAGGAACCAGGAGGTACTCGCTGTAGAGAGAGGAACCAGAGGTACTCGCTGTAGAGAGAGGAACCAGAGGTACTCGCTGTAGAGAGAGGAACCAGAGGTACTCGCTGTAGAGAGAGGAACCAGAGGTACTCGCTGTAGAGAGAGGAACCAGAGGTACTCGCTGTAGAGAGAGGAACCAGAGGTACTCGCTGTAGAGAGAGGAACCAGAGGTACTCGCTGTAGAGAGAGGAACCAGAGGTACTCGCTGTAGAGAGAGGAACCAGAGGTACTCGCTGTAGAGAGAGGAACCAGAGGTACTCGCTGTAGAGAGAGGAACCAGAGGTACTCGCTGTAGAGAGAGGAACCAGAGGTACTCGCTGTAGAGAGAGGAACCAGAGGTACTCGCTGTAGAGAGAGGAACCAGAGGTACTCGCTGTAGAGAGAGGAACCAGAGGTACTCGCTGTAGAGAGAGGAACCAGAGGTACTCGCTGTAGAGAGAGGAACCAGAGGTACTCGCTGTAGAGAGAGGAACCAGAGGTACTCGCTGTAGAGAGAGGAACCAGAGGTACTCGCTGTAGAGAGAGGAACCAGAGGTACTCGCTGTAGAGAGAGGAACCAGAGGTACTCGCTGTAGAGAGAGGAACCAGAGGTACTCGCTGTAGAGAGAGGAACCAGAGGTACTCGCTGTAGAGAGAGGAACCAGAGGTACTCGCTGTAGAGAGAGGAACCAGAGGTACTCGCTGTAGAGAGAGGAACCAGAGGTACTCGCTGTAGAGAGAGGAACCAGAGGTACTCGCTGTAGAGAGAGGAACCAGAGGTACTCGCTGTAGAGAGAGGAACCAGAGGTACTCGCTGTAGAGAGGAACCAGAGGTACTCGCTGTAGAGAGAGGAACCAGAGGTACTCGCTGTAGAGAGAGGAACCAGAGGTACTCGCTGTAGAGAGAGGAACCAGAGGTACTCGCTGTAGAGAGAGGAACCAGAGGTACTCGCTGTAGAGAGAGGAACCAGAGGTACTCGCTGTAGAGAGAGGAACCAGAGGTACTCGCTGTAGAGAGAGGAACCAGAGGTACTCGCTGTAGAGAGAGGAACCAGAGGTACTCGCTGTAGAGAGAGGAACCAGAGGTACTCGCTGTAGAGAGAGGAACCAGAGGTACTCGCTGTAGAGAGAGGAACCAGAGGTACTCGCTGTAGAGAGAGGAACCAGAGGTACTCGCTGTAGAGAGAGGAACCAGAGGTACTCGCTGTAGAGAGAGGAACCAGAGGTACTCGCTGTAGAGAGAGGAACTAGAGGTACTCGCTGTAGAGAGAGGAACTAGAGGTACTCGCTGTAGAGAGAGGAACTAGAGGTACTCGCTGTAGAGAGAGGAACTAGAGGTACTCGCTGTAGAGAGAGGAACTAGAGGTACTCGCTGTAGAGAGAGGAACTAGAGGTACTCGCTGTAGAGAGGAACTAGAGGTACTTGCTGTAGAGAGAGGAACTAAGAGAGAGAGGAACTAGAGGTACTCACTGAGGAGAGAGAGGGTGACCTTCTCACAGATAGCGCGGGTGTCCTGGAAGCCACCCACCACACACAGTTCCAGACGACCTTCAGTATAGCCCATGGAGAGCTCGTTAATGCGGGTCAGCAGGTGTAGCACACCGTCGTCATGAGAACATATATGCAGACCACTCAGGCACTCGTCATGGCTGCACTTGTCGAAGTGGGCCAGACCCACAGCACCAGAACCTGCAACAGAAAAAACATCAGACTACATGCATTTTCATATATAATTAAATTTATAATGTACTACTCACACAAAAGAACGTCGAATTATTTTAAATTTCACATAATTAAATTTGTCAGATTTTCCTTACACACAACATAACTTCCATCTATGTCAACTGTAATGTATTAATAAAGTAAGGTTGTACCGTCTATATAACACACAAGAACATAACACAACTCTCTTCATATTACTTACATTTCCATGTTTAACTAAGGGAGGTTCTAAGGACTAATAACAGCTCTTGATTAATTATCACTCAGTATTAGCAGGTACTTAGGGCTATGGTGCCAGAGTACTGGCCATCGAATTTTAAGAAATTCTAGAAACATAGAAAGGGACTAGCGGCATATTTGTCAGTGTTACTGATTCCCTATGTGATATACTTGTGTAGTTATCCCAAGTATGTTAGTACTGGGTACTGTACTCGTAATAACAGTTACTGATTCACCGCCTCCCAACGTGAATCACTGACTATATCACTGACCGTTAATGCTGACCTAGTATGATTTGAATGCCGCTCGCCCGGCAGGCAGTTCAAGTCGAGACGATTGAGGGGAGGCAAGTCAGGCTTGGCGTTCCCCTTATTTTCCCGTTAATATAAGTTACCAGGCCACCCATTGTGTGCGTTTATTCCCTAATCAATTAGACAAGCAATTCACTTCAGTTGTGCACAAGCCTCCACAATGACAAGACAACTGTTTTGTAATTCAGCTACTACTTCATATGATTCAGACAGACGTTTTATAAGGTAAGAACGACTGAATTAATGGTTTTTTAAAACAATGGCCAGACTTTGTAGCAGTATCATTTTAGATTAAAATTTAATTATTAGCAATGGAAGCATCCCTTGCAAGAAAATTGAATTATGAATATAGCCATTATCCAGCAATAATGCAAGCTGATGTGAAGCCGAGATGTATGTACTTCATGTTTGTGTGTTGGTCATGTGACAGACCTAGCTAGCTCCTAGATAACTCTCACAATCTTTGCGAGATATTTTGTCTTATGATCTTTTGGAGGGTAATTAAAAATGATTTTCAATATTTTTTTTTTCGCATTTCCACATTTTTTCCATATAACAGTGATGAAAATTTGTATTTCTTCTGTTGCTCAAGTTGTAAGTAATTCGCTTATACTGCTTGCTGCTATTTAGTGTTAAATAAATGTTATATATACAAAACAGTTTAAATTTATAATATAGTTGAGTGTTGTGGCGTAGCGGATGATGACCTTGAAGACAACTGAGTTTTTAATGTATTATCTCACCTTCAGCACTTACTGAGTCTTGCCAGCTAAGCAATGGAAGGGCCAAGGTGGCAGCATTATGCAGCTGTGCTCAGGGCATCAGCTGGCCTTAATGTGGCCCTGGCTAATAACCAACACCCAAAATATGAACATTGAGAAGCGTATTTCTCTCAGCGTAAGAGTGTCCTTTGAGTCCTATTTTAGGCAATATTGTATTCTTGTCTGATGGTGATAAGGTTAGCTATATCCTTAATGATCCTCGTATAGTCAATAGGTTTAAAATCCAATTAACCAAACAAGCATAGCAACAACGACCACAACAACGACCACCACCAAGACAAAAGGGTGTAAGCAGGGCCAGAACTGCCTTTTTTTTCTAGGTTCCCAGGTCAAACAGACTTGTGGACCCCATTTGTAGTAACTTTATTACAGTCACGAGTGAGCACATAACACAAACTAATGTTCTTTTTTTTTTCTTTAGAAAAGCTAGATATATTAACAGTGTGCTGTTCCTCTATTCTATATACTGGATAAACAGTGGGAAAAACGAGGGTGTTTCCCCGTCATATTCTATATTCTACTTACACAGCGGGAACAGAAGCAGTATTTCCTGTCTTCTATATGCTAGTTACAAAGTGAAAACAATAGTAGTGTAAACTACCATATTCTTATATGGTAGTTTGCAGTGTAATGGACTACAGGACAAATTCAAATTATTCCATAGGGCGAAAGACCCATGTGCGAGACTTGGGAGTAATGATGTCAGAAAAACTCACATTCAAGGCTCACAACGATGTTGTCAATGCTATCGTAAGCAAAATAATAGGCTGAATAACTATAAATTTCAAGATAAGCAATGCTGAGCCAGTGGTAATACTCTTCAAGTCACTTTTCTTTAGAATGGAATATTAACGGCTCCCTTCAAGGCAGTGTGTGTGCGCGCCGAGCTTAAAAAAAAAAGTACAAGAGAACTTTCACTGCCTGTACATATTCAATCAAGCATCTTAACTACAGGGAATGCTTGAAGTCTCTTCAACTGCATTCCTTGGAACATAGGCGAGAAAGGTACATCATAATTTACACATGGAAAATCCTGGAGAGAGTGATCCCAAACCTAAATAGTGTACTGAAATCACTCCATATGACAAGAGATGTGGCAGACTGTGTACAATACCTCCTCTAAACAGCAAGAGCTCGACGAGTACACTAAGAACGAACTTGGCGAGTGTTAGAGATCCCCGACTCCTCAATATCCTCCCTCCGTAAATAAGGTGAATTACTAACGAACCTCTGGCTATCTTAAAAACACAAACTTGACAAATTCCTCCAATCAGCTCCTGACCAGCCGAGCTGTGGCTGGTGCACTGGGTTACATGCGACCATCAGTAACAACCTGGTTGATCAAGCCTTGATCCTAAAGAAGGCCTGGTCTGGAACCAAGCTACGGGGACGGGGACGTTGACCGGAAGAGTTAGCTAGCACCTCTCACCACCACCAGTGACGTTAGTGGCTCCTCCCATGACTATCAGTGACTACCTGCACCTCCCACTACCACCAGTGACGTTACTAGCATCTCCCACTACCACCAGTGGCGTTACTAGCACCTCCCACCAAGACCAGTGATGTTACTAGCACCTCCCACTACCACCAGTGACGTTACTAGCACCTCCCACTACCACCAGCGACGTTACTAGCACCTCCCACTACCACCAGCGACGTTACTAGCACCTCCCACTACCACCAGCGACGTTACTAGCACCTCCCACTACCACCAGCGACGTTACTAGCACCTCCACTACACCAGCGACGTTACTAGCACCTCCCACTACCACAGCGACGTTACTAGCACCTCCCACTACCACCAGCGACGTTACTAGCACCTCCACTACCACCAGCGACGTTACTAGCACCTCCCTACCACCAGCGACGTTACTAGCACCTCCACTACCATCCAGCGACGTCACTAGCACCTCCCACTACCACCAGCGACGTCACTAGCACCTCCCACTAGCACCAGCGACGTCACTAGCACCTCCCACTACCACCAGCGACGTTACTAGCACCTCCCACTACCACCAGCGACGTTACTAGCACCTCCCACTACCACCAGCGACGTTACTAGCACCTCCCACTACCACCAGCGACGTTACTAGCACCTCCCACTACCACCAGCGACGTTACTAGCACCTCCCACTACCACCAGCGACGTTACTAGCACCTCCCACTACCACCAGCGACGTTACTAGCACTTCCCACTACCACCAGCGACGTTACTAGCACCTCCCACTACCACCAGCGACGTTACTAGAACCTCACTACCACCAGTGACGTTAATAGCGCCCCCCACCACCAGTGAAGTTACTAACGCCTCCTACCACCAGTGACGTTACTATCGCCTCCCACCACAACCAGTGACGTTACATGCTCCTCCCACCAGTGACGTTACTAGCTCCTCCCACCACCAGCAGCAACGTTACTAGCACCTCTCACTACCACCAGCGACGTTACTAGCACCTCCCACTACCACCAGCGACGTTACTAGCACCTCCCACTACCACCAGTGACGTTACTAGCACCTCCCACTACCACCAGCGACGTTACTAGCACCTCCCACTACCACCAGCGACGTTACTAGCACCTCCCACTACCACCAGCGACGTTACTAGCACCTCCCACTACCGCCAGCGACGTTACTAGCACCTCCCACTACCACCAGCGACGTTACTAGCACCTCTCACTACCACCAGTGACGTTACTAGCGCCCCCCACCCAGTGACGTTATTAACGCCTACCACCAGTGACGTTACTAGCGCCTCCCACAACCAGTGACGTTACTAACGCCTACCACCAGTGACGTTACTAGCACCTCCCACCACAACCAGTGACGTTACTAGCTCCTATCACCAGTGACGTTACTAGCTATCACCAGTGACGTTACTAGCGCCTCCCAACACCTCCAGTGACGTTACTAGCTCCTCCCACCACCACCACCAGTAACGTTACTAGCGCCTCCCAACACCTCCAGTGACGTTACTAGCGCCTCCCAACATCTCCAGTGACGTTATTTGCGCCTCCCAAAAACCCACCATGACGTACTACACCTCCCACCCCCAAAACGTTACTACGCCTCCCACTTCACCAGTGACGTTACTGCTCCTCCCACCAGTGACTTTTTACTTCTCCCCCCCACCATTTGTTACTAGCCCCTTTACCGTACGTTACTTCCTCCCCCACTACTGTGGGCGTTACTAGCTCCCCCCCACCACTACTAGTGACGTTTTACTCCTCCCCCACTACTAGTGACGTTACTAGCTCCTCCCACCACTACTAGTGACGTTACTGGCTCCTCCCACCACTACTAGTGACGTTACTAGCTCCTCCCACCACTACTAGTGACGTTACTAGCTCCTCCCACCACTACTAGTGACGTTACTAGCGCCTCCCACTACCACCAGTGACGTTACTAGCTCCTCCCACCAGTGACGTTACTAGCTTCTCCCACCACCAGTTATGTTACTAGCTCCTTCCACCAGTGACGTTACTAGCTCCTCCCACCACTACTAGTGACGTTACTAGCTCCTCCCACCACTACTAGTGACGTTACTAGCTCCTCCCACCACTACTAGTGACGTTACTGGCTCCTCCCACCACTACTAGTGACGTTACTAGCTCCTCCCACCACTACTAGTGACGTTACTAGCTCCTCCCACCACTA